AACGAAGTCAAGTGTTTGGTTTGAGGATCCAAAAGCCCAGGAAATGCATCTCTACAGCTGCTCGTCAATTTGAGACCTAATGAAATATAGAAAATACTCAGTAAAAGCGCCTTTATTACTTTAAATGTTTAAATGTGGAGTTTTTAGCCATCAGGTTAATGTTTTTGTTTCATTTTTTGATTTGATTGTGAGCACTTTTCCAGGTATCTCTGCCACTTGAGCACTAATTGGATTTCCACAGATAAACGGTGCTAGCTGCAGCCCTTACCTCACTGTGTTTTTACTTCACCATTATTTTATTTGTTTTTACTGTAAAGGTTAATAAATCTCAGTATGTTTAAAGTATGAAATGAGGCAGGCAGGCTGAGAACTACAGCATGGAGGGGTGAAGTTTTATACACTGCTTTCTCAAATCTGAGGGGCTGAAAGAGAAACAGTGTGCCCTTTGTGGTATTTATAATGGGCTGCTGGGTATGTTAGTCAGCCAAGTAGCGATCCATAATCCTTAAGATAAAAAGCGTTGATCTCTCCACTAGTTCTCAGACAGAGCTGTAAGGCATGTGAATTGGGTTACCATTGATTTAAGGTGGGAAGAGCACTGAGTAGCATGGGTCTGCTTAAAAAGGGATATGTGGAATTTATTTAATTTTATTTAATTTTTTAAAGAAAATTGGAAGTCTCTCAGTGCAAGTGCACCCGAGTTGCCTCTGGATTATGAAAAAAATCAGTATAGAACTTGCTAGTATTTTAGGGAAGAGCTACATGAATGGCAGATTTTAATGAAGATTTGGACTGCAAATAAATTTGGATAAGGATTTATCAAAGTCCCAGGCATTTGCTCTTTCACCTATTTGTTCAGGAAAGCCTCTATTTCTTACCATTCTCATGATGTCCTGGGAAGCTGAGCTTATCTTCCTGCCGCTGGAAAACTACTGCAGCGTGACACGCAGAGTTTCCAGCCGTGGAGGCAATGTGCAGGCCCTTTTTGGCCTAGCAGGACTGAAACTGGTGCATTTAAAACACTCCCTCCCAATTTGGGACTCTGTGGGCTTAATAAAAATTGATTGACCAGCCTGTACATGGGCCAAAAGAGCTGTAAAGACTGAATTGTCTTTGCTCTGTTACAAAGACAGAAAAATATCTTGTAGCTCCTATGGATCAGAGGCAGTCTTGAGCTAGTATCTGCAACATGATAGACTCGGGCTTTCAGTTGTGCCAGTTCTCTATGGCAACAATGGACATTCTTATGATGGTACGAATGGTTTGCTATAGCATGGACGCAGATTTCAGAGAGGTTGTTGATGGTCTCTGCAGCATTTGTCAAGGTAAAGCCTGCTTTATTTTTCCTGAAGTGGGAAATTGTTTATTAATTTTTCAGCAGGTAAAGAGCATAATTGTAATAGTCCCTGACATGTGCTGATTGCTCCAAGGTTTAAGGAAAACAAAAGCTACTAGAAGTGCTGTTTTGAACCTTCTCTGATTTCATAGGATTTCCTGGTTTGGAATCAAATTTCTGTGTAGAAGCTAGGCAGGAGCCGCCTGGCTTGAGTTTAATTCTCTGCAGAACGAAACCTCTTGGACTTTTTGATTTAGTTTATGATGGCGTGATCTTGCTAAGAAGTGTCAAGAGAGAGGAGTTGGCGATCAAGACGTATGAATTCCTGGTGCATACAGGAATGCTCTATTGGTTGAGCAGCATCCTGAATTTGTCCTGACACCCATACACTTTGTTTTTTTAAACAGTGCATGTAACACCCATGAAAAATGCCAAATTGACCCCAAAGGGAAGCTTGGTTGCTTTTGAAACTGCTCATGCAAGTTCCTACATACGAAGAAGAAATGTTGTGATGTGGGCTTCTTTCTGTTTGGAACTGGACAAAGACAAGGGACGCAGCTGCTTTTGAATCTATAAATTTATTCCACTAGCAATCCCCATAGACAAGGCAGCTCTGGCCAATCAGATTTCTTGCCCCTTACTTGTTTTTTCCCTTAATGGGGCAATTAACAGCAGGAACAAAGTGCATGGTCTGCTCAGTCTTTATTATTATTTGTGTTGCAATAAGTGTTTAGGAGGCCAGTTGCAGACCGGCACCAGGCACTGTGCAAATACAGAGTAAAAGGACGATTCTTGTCCCAAAGAGCTCTAAGTAAAATATTAAATTTACATAAAGGTCCTCCAGTCTTCTAACCCCTTCCTCCTTTGCTGCTACTTCCCAACTGCTGTGGTTTGCATGATTTATTGTGCACCTGTCACCATTTCCAGCTTCTTTAATGTTTCCAGCATGAAACCTTTTGTTTGCTAGATTCTGGTGATCCGAGTAGTTTCCTCATCTATCTCCTTGTTTATTCTCACATTCAAATACTCCATGTAGTAATACCAGGCCAGCCCCCTGACTTATCCCCTAATTGTGTGGGAATTTTGTCACTGCAAGGAAACTACTCGGTTTCTAAGCTACATTTCCCATGGGTTAAGGGTTCTATCAAGTGGGGTTCTTGCAATAGCAAGTTCAAAATATAATGGCTTAAAAAAATGGGGTTTTTGTCCATTTGAGACATTTTAGTCTAAAACATCTTTACTTGCATCTCCCACAGATGCAGTCTACTTTTGAATCTCTTGAATTAAATCTAAACCATTGTATTAGTAGTATTTGCCAGTCTCTCATCTGTAGAATTAGAAGGATCTAAGTAAGTGTGAACAACGATCTTGTTCTGCTGTGCCTCTTTGATCGATTCAGCCTTCTGGAGTCTAATATTCAATAGCCATTTTAAGTACTCGGGCACTTTTGTTGGATGTGACACAGACTTCCTATCCTTAAGTCGTCTTCTAGCTCCCTAGCATGTGCAAGAAGCTCCTGCAGTCTTCCTCTGACCTGTAGTGAAAAGAATGAAAAAGTAGCAAGTTACTGCTTCAATGTAAAAAGAGATTTCTTTCAAAAGCTGTCATAACTGCACTCTTTGTGAATGGCAACATGAGGAGAGAAGTGGAAAAGGTGAGAGTTGGGGATGCTGCCATCTGCTCCCCTAAAGACTATTATCATGCATTTTTTTAGTTGTAGAGCCACAGAATGATCTCACAGTTCTTCTGCGGTAGCAAGCATCTCGGACACTGAGTCATTACATTCCTTTGGAGTGATTCAGCTCAACAACTTGACACTTGCATTAATTTTACAGCACAGAGCCTCAGTGATGCCTAAGCTTCCTTCTGTAAGAAGGGAGAAACAAGATGTGTAATTTGGGTACTGCCCTGAAGAGTTACAAAATTGGATTCTCTGTAATCAGAGTTTTAACCTTTCACCTGGTTCCTGGCATCTTTCTCAGGTCCTGTTGAATCAGTTTGTTAACCTGACAATGACACACTGGCTTCATCTGCGCTTAGAAGCTAGATGCTTTACCTGCTTGCAGGAAACACTGATCTGCTAGCCTGTGTATTATCCACAATGGTCCAGTACATTCAGTGCTGAGGTTATTGCTGATTTTTTGTGTAAACAGAACCTCAAATAGTTGGTTGCCAGTTGGATTGCAAATATTATCTCCGCTCCTCCCAGCATCCCTGTTCATCTTGCTCTAATACCGTCTTTGGTGGTATTGATGATTATAGGAACCTTGCAACTTAAGTTTAGACAGAAGTACAGAAAAGGGGATTTTTATTTTTCCTCTAGAAATGAGATTATATCTTTCCACTCCTTTTAAATGAAAAGTTAAAATATTTGAACTCTAGAAAAAAGGTTTATGCTACTCAGTGGTTAAAATTTATTATGGCTGCATTATCAGTTAAGACAGATATAATTTATTGATCTTCTAGTATTTCTTATAAGGTGTTTTTCAAGCATTTGTCACTTGCCTGTAACAATTTGTGTCAAGTTAAACTTGATGTTATAAAGTCTCATTTGGAGGTGTATTCTTTTCTGAAATAAAAGAAATACATAGCACAGTCTGTGTGAAAGAAAACAGTTACCGTGTTTCTTTTAAAGCACGTGTAGAGGTTTCTTGTTCTCTTTAATTTTTTGCGTATAAGTAGTACTTGAATGAGTATTATTTCTATTAAAAAGAGAATTTTATCAAGAAGGTCACTATGTTTTAAATCGAGTCAAAAAGAACTTAAGACAGCAGAGATATTTCACTTTGAAAGGTGACTACTGCACAGACGAAGTTCCTACTTTTCATAAGGGCTTTTACTCCATATATCAATGTGTTTTAAGAGAGACTTGGGTCAATAATACCATGCTTTAGAATTCCCTAAATACATATTTACACAATAGACCTTAAAATATATTAGTCTATCATGTCAGCTCCTGTACACTTCTATCAGGGATGTTTTATGTCCTTAACATATAATACAATAAAACTTTATTTTATGTGGCATTTTTCATACAAACTGTATCCTGGAATGCCTTGTGGAGTTAAGTAATACTTTTACAAGATTAAAATTAAAAAAGCTGAAGGGTGCAGGAAAATTAAGGGTTATGCGTGTAGGAAATACTTGACTGGACAATGTGAATCTGGGTGGAGAGGCCGCAGGGGTGAGAGAAACTGTAAGTCTGATTTGTGCTACAGGGAAGGATCCCTGGCAATGGTGAGGTTATGTGAGGAAAGACTGATCTTATGTGAATTGTGAACGTGGAGAATCATGCCTTTATGATCAGCTGGAGGAAATGTGAAGTGGCTCCCAGAACAAAGAAGTTGAGAATGAGGACCGTCTAGATGGACTTCTTTGTAGTGAAAATAGTAGAAAAAATGAGGAGAAACATGCTGAAAGGAAAGAAAGCATCTGAAAGTGTGTCTCTGTAGCTGAATTGTTGCAAGAAATTGGTGGGAACGGGCTACAGCAGTGTACCCCTAAGATTTTTCAGCTTCTTCATTTCTGCTTGTTCCAACGTGCTTAGGGAGTGCCAGGGGTCGCAGCTCAGTGGAGGCTGTCCCTGGAACTAAGTAGGCACAACAAGATGACATGAAGACAGCTCAGCTTGGATTTTTTCTGGCTTTTATCAAAATTTTTTTTGGTCACCCTGTTAATGTAAATTAAGTAAGGCTTTTTTGTATGTGATAATTATAGATAAATGTATTTAAAGTAGATCTGGATTTTGTAGTCCTCGGGAAAAAGAGGAAGAGTAATTTTTCCCCCCTGTCCCTGTCATGTGTTCATTTTAATGAGCAATTTTAAAAAATTGAAAATAAAAGAGGAAAATGAATAGGTGTTGAACCAGCCTGTGATATGTAAATGCCAACTAGTAATTACCTAAAACCTCAATTTTCTTTCTGTTTCATCTTGCAAAACATTTCATTTCCACTGAGTGAAAACACTTAATTTGGGCTTCGTTGGCTGGTGAAGCCTGCCTCTCAGAACGTGAGCCTCCCCCAGGCCTCGGCTAGGGGGAGTACTGACTCTGTGCTAGCGCGATTCGCACCGCTCTGGCCATCCCAAGGTTATTCCCGCTCTGCTACCCTGGTGGTTTTTCCGAGAGTATCGAATGGAAATTCACCTGCTCCTAGTTTACAGTCGTGTTTGCTTTTAGGAACTTTGTTCTTTCAAGTGTTAGTGAAAATTGGGTGATAAATACATGTTTGGAATATAACGTTTTTAGCTTTCATCTGGTCGTTATTGTGATGATGATCTTGACTTAGATTTCATGCTCGTGTCTGAGTTTCTGGGCACTTGGGATTTTTTCCTTTTTGTTTTTATTACCCTTTTTTGTTTACTAATCTGCATTCTTTTAGTTCCGGGTTCTTAATTTTAGATATGGTTTGGAGCTTGTTTCTTCCTTGCCTTTGTTCTTTCCGGTTCTGACTCCTCTGAATCTTGCTTTAGGTTTTATTCATTTTTTATTTCCTCTGTTTTACGTGAGTATTTTTTTTTTCTTTTTGCATTTTTAAACTTTTCTTTGTAGGACTTTGAGATCCCCCAAACTTTGCAGGTTTCTAAGTGCTACTAAAACAGAAACAGTCCCTGGGGTTCTGTCTGGTTTCATAAAAATTTTGAGGAAATTAAAGGAGCTTTAAAGTTTTTCCTCTCTCCTGACTGACCTGCAGATGATTTCTTTAGAAGGAACAAGCACTTTCTGTGACATATAAATTGGGAATTGTGGGGCCCCAAACCTTGAATTTGCATTTGTCCTGGGAGAAGGAAGCTTGTGTTAGAGAGCACTGTGTGTGTAGTGTCCCAGGACCCTGACTCTTGGAGAGCTCTGCCTGGAATCTCAAGGAACAGTGCCTCTTTAGTGAGATATATGGCTTCATAATTAGCCCCTTGCATTTTTTCATGAGTGCTAGCATCAGCGTTCTATGATGTGTTTCCCTGATTAACAGCTGCTTTGCAACTATTTCCTTGTGCCACCGATGACCATATTTGTCAAGTGAGTCCTGACAGAGCACTGATTTCTCACTAAAATGCAGCATTTCTGTTTCAAGGGGTTTTCTTGTTCATTGCAGTGGCAGGCTTTTAAGTCAGACCTTGTTAAAACGTAAGTTGGCTTTAGCCCGATGCTTGTTAACAGGATTCTGGGTATCTCCTTTAGAGTAGGAGTGCAGAAACCTTTCACAGACAATTTAATCTTCTGAGCCTTGCAAACATACAGCTGTACACTGGGAGGGTGTTGCTGTAGGCTAATGTATTGATCAGTTCCATTTGCCCTATAGCTGTGGCCTTCTGCTCTGGCTAAAATAGGTTGAGTGTTTGTTGATGCTGCCATATTATTATTTTTTAATACACTAGAAAAAAATTAATTCCAACTTCTTTTACATACGTCATGTATATTGCCAGTGTTGATTGCTTCCGCACATGTAATGTAAACTGTCTGTGCATAGTTCATGGCCTGTGCTGCCTCTGCTTAATGAAAAGAAGTGTTGCGTTTAAACAGATACAGATCCACTCAGAAAGACAAAATACCATCCCTTGCAACGTATAATTCAGACGCAACCTTTACATCACAGGTCATCTCAAAGTCTCAGTCTATCAACAAATGCTGTTCAGTAATAACCTACAGAGGGTTCCCAGTATTAGGAAATCTATTAGAGCTCTTACTGGCTGCAGTCCCAGTGGCTTTTGATTCTCTCTTCCACGTGGGCCTGTGCTACTGAATCCTGTGGAGCTTTAAGCTATGAGAGTGATTTTGGTTTCCCTTTTTTTTTTTTTGATTGAAGATTTTTTGAGAAGGTAGAAAGTGGGCATTTGTCACTGCGTTTTAAAATTGATGGCTTATTTTTCTAAGGCTAGTGAACGATATAGTAGCTTAGGTTTCTTGAGTTAAAATCCTGCAGTTTTGAGCATAATAACAAATAAGGCTGCCTGTACCTTCTCCACTAACACAGGAGGGAGGGAAATTGGGAATGAGGGACCTTGGCTATAACGTCACAGCGCTGTGCTTTGGCCCAGAATTTCACCGTGTTGCTGCACTCCCACAATGTCTGCCATAAAGTTAGTGTCTCTGTTTTATATCTTTGACATTGAAGCAGAATATTTGGCCTGAATTTATGTAATTTGGCTGGACACAAATATAATCCATGAATAGTCACATTCATGTTCTAATTAGAAAGTCAAACTGTAGTGCAAGACCTGCTGCTGGATTCCACCCACCACTACCCAGTCAGAAATGTGTCTTTGTGTATCATATCACTGCGGGAAAAGCTCTGGTGGGATAGCAAGTTTATGGCATTAACTTGCTTTTAAAGACCAAATACACAATTTTTCATTAAAAGAAATATGTAACAGTGATCCACTGGATAAAACTAGTTTGCTGGCCAGTGTGTGGTGGCAGTCTAAGTATCAGAGTGGTGATACAATGCATGCTACTCGGCAGTGTCCTAATATTAGAAACATTTGGATAAGTGTTACAAAGGACACAGAAATAGTATGGAATGATGTTCCCATCTGAATCGGAGTGCTGCTTGCAATATGTTTTTTCATCTCTCCAAAGGACTGCAAAGTCTTTTTCTCATTTTCCCCCTCCTTTTTCTTTTTCTGTTTCTTAAATTATGGACTGCAGTTGTCCTTGTTTGTGGAAAGAAAATCATCCATAGGAGGTAGGAAAGTTCTTGTGTACTGTTGTTGAAAATATTGGCATCTTGACATGGCCAAAATTGCTTTGTAAGTTGTTCATGTATACAAGATGGATTACAAAAAGGAAGAAGTTTCAGGTCAGCCTATAGGAGGAATGTGTACTCTAGAGGTAAATGCAAACATAAATAAGAGAAACATGGGATTATTGGGAGGAGGAGTAACTATTCAGAATTGTTTTTTGTGAAGTTTGTTGTTTCTGCTTGTAATTTCATTTCGTCTTAAGATTAAAACCTTTGTGAATAATGGAGGAAATAGGACAGGGAAGAGATAAAATAGAAGTTTATTTTGAGGTGAAATTTACAACTGAAACGTTTACATTTTTACAAGGCAAAAATAAGTGTTAGTAAAGAGTTAGAATCAATAAAATGTTAAAAAGGTTATGCTTAAACTAGGACAATGAAAAATGCTGCTTATATCTTACAGGTCTTTTCTGTGCTTATAAAATGATAATATTAACGAAAGAACCCGAGAGCTTGCAGAATTTCAGGTCTGCAAGCCTTTTGTGTCTGTGTCGCTAGCTCACTAAACGTGGGAGGGAGTGTTGAAGAGTACCTGAAGAAACAAACAAGTAATTATTGTTAGAAGGAGAGTGGTTTTGATATGTTCACATATCTGTTGGTCTGCTCGTTTGGGCATCTTTCTTATTCAGCATATTATCTTAAGGTTATTAGTTTGTGCGCTTTATATTTCTGAATCCGATGTAGCAATATCAGCACTGTTTAAATGCATGATTTGCCTGTCACCTGCATTTCAGTCAGAGACAGATCAAGTGCACATAAATGAGACCAAAGTGTACTTTATGTGGGGTATTCTGCTATACTATTTCATGGTTCAAAATTACTGAATATAGACTTAAGGAAAAAAAGCAGGAAAATAAGAAAAAGAAGAGAATGAAAAATACCCCATTCACTTCATTCTCCCAACTTTGAAGTGTGCTGGGACTCTGTCAAATTCCCGTTAAAATAAATATGTCAATTTCACCTCTCTTCCAAATTCATTTATCATGCTTTTTTAAAAGGTGTTTTCTGCTTTACCTGATGTTTAAATTGGATTCACTCGTTTATGCTGTTCTTTGCTGTATCCCCCATGTTTTTCTTAAATGAATTAGTAATGACAGCATACTCCATCATACCCTCTCTACAGCCACTTTAAGGGAAGCCTGGTGATCTAAACCTTTTAACCTATTAAAGATGATTTTCCCCAATTGAATCAGACCCACCACAGGTGTAATAACTAATCATTTAAACTACACCTGCTATTATGTATTTTTAAGCCATTATGCGTGTTGGATAGATGATAATTCATGTTTATTGCATTGTCCAATGGATCCGTTTTGCCTACACTAGCCTGATTAATGTATTTAAAGAAATAAGAGATGCAATTTAGAAAAAAAAAAACACAACATTGATGGAATGCACTGAGGAGTACATTGAAAGTGCCATTAAACCCATCAGAACTTTGCTCTCTGACCAGAAATGCATATTCGATGGGTTTGATTCAAACACAAGGTGAAACTTAGCGATTTCAACAGTGATGCCATTTTTTCCTTCTTTTTCTACTACTGTGAAAAACTTTGAAAAGCTATTTGGAACTGAATTCCAGAAACTGTGTTTTAGCTCAAACATTCCAAGACCTACAAATACACTTTGTATCTAACACCTACCACTGTTTTAGGATAATGCATATTCCGCTGTTTGGGGAGAAAAAAAGACGCCTCTTCCATGTAGATGCATGGTTATTTTTAGCTGTGGAGGAAGGAAATGATCTCTTTCATTAGTTCACATGAATGTGTCCATCTCCTAAGTGCTGTTAGCTTCAGGCGAATTATTCCTCCTGATGCCACAATCAAAACAGATGCCTTTGTATAAAGGTAAGGTGAATCAGCTGTTTTTCACCAGTGCAGCAACGTACAATATGCACAGTAATATGGGGGAGTATATGGAACCTATCATATGAACAAAAAAATCAAATGCCTTTCACTGGGCACTAAATTCCAATTTAAAAAACTAATGCCATTGTTGTTGGTGCCATTCAGTAATACTGCAGACTTTACACTTTGTTTGGGTACATGGTTTAAGTGCTGTGTCACTCTGAAGAAGCGTGCAGGTGAAGTTAGTCCTTTGACAGAAGCAATCCGTGATTTCTATCACAGTGGAGCACAAAGTAAAGCATTCATCTACCCATTCATATTGTGAAAAGTGACTTTTTCTGATATTTTCAGTAGTGTGATCCAAAACATGGAATGTTGCTTCTTTTCCAGTGATGACAAACCAAGATTTAGTTATTGCTTACAGTTAAGTAGAACAATGGCAGAAATGCCCTTAATCTCCTAGAATTTGCAAGGAGCTTCAAGTCCGATAGAAAGGAAGAAAGGAAGCGTTCTTCTATTCTTCTTAGTAACAGTCGAACTGTTGCAGATCACATGCTATGTCTCAGGGTTGCTCTCAAATGTGGGAACCCACTTACGTAAGAATATCGCAGTCTAAATCAGGGTAACCTCTAAGAATCTTAATGCGGATTTTCATACAGGTTGAGCCGCTGAAAGAGTAAGTCAAAGAGAAACTTCGAAGATGAAATATCGTAATTGTGCTCTCTGATTAGAGGTGAGCCACCAACTCTGATCCTCACTGAAACATTTCTCAGAGTTGGATTGGTTCCAGTTCCAGACCATCTCCGTGTGTTGTTAGATGTGATGCCTTTGCAGTACAAGATGCATAACATAAAATAGAAATATGACCATTCTTAACTTGGTTCTTTTCTCTCTTCTGTTTCTCCATTCCTCTTACCCTCACCAGATTGTGACTGCAGTGAAGTTTTTACAGAATCCTCGAGTCCGCCAAAGTCCACTAGCAACCAGAAGAGCATTTCTCAAGAAGAAAGGTATGGACACATAAGTCTGCGGTCTCAATGATAATGAGGGAGTGTGGGTTAGGGTTAAAGCCAGAACATATTGCAGTGGAAAATTAGATGTTAAGGACAAAGGAGATGTTTCTGTTTCAGAAAAAGATTTGAAGTTTGTGAGAAATACCCCTCTCTTTTCTTCCGTACTGACTAGAGCAATTTTGTCACCAGATGTGGAACTGTAGAATACAGAAGACACATTGGGGGTTCTAGGGTTAACTGTTATTAGATATTTTCTGAAGCGAGGGTAGTTTACAACTTTGGACTAGTAGTTGGTCAATTCTAGCCCTTTGTGAGGTTGGCTTTAGAACGGCCAGCTTCTGGGTGAAAAGGTCAAATGCTTTAGAGGAGAGCCAGAGACAAATGAAGAGCGAAGGACTTGGTAAAAGTAAACAAGGTCAGGTTAAGGTCAGGCTTGGGGTCAACCTGACTTTCAGGCTGAAATGGTAAACTACTAACTATGTTTAGCCCCTTTTTTATCACAGGGATTGAACAGATCCTGACAAATCCAATATAGTCTCAAATGGATGGAATTGCCTACTGAGATTTTTTAGTATTATTGTTATTGTTTCTGATTCCTAAAGGAGCTAACTTTTTTTTTCTTTAATATAAAGTTTTTAGCCAACGACTTATAGTGCTTTTCAGGTGAAGTTGATAATACCCTTCTCGGACCACAGTACTTACGTCTTTAATGCAAGATGTAAATGCTACAGAGGGTCTTGTCTTAGAGTAAAGTATGTGTGCTATGGAGCACTTGAAGCATTTGGAATGATCCTGAAAATACAAACTCCAAAATTGAGAGGGGAGTGACCACTTATACATTGAAGTCATCAGTTCTTCAGGGTATGTTGAATTCTATAGCTAAAGATCTTTAGTTTGGAAAATTAGGGAAGCCCATGAAGTACGTATTAGTCTGACTGAAGATACGAACTGTTTATTGAGATGTGTGAGACCTGATATCATGAGATAGAGAATTCAAGTATAGGAACCACTCTGCTCATCCTGAACAGCAAAAGACCTAGGAGGAAACGGCAGACTCATGTTTTCGCAATGTTGTCATGCGAGGTAGTTCACAGATACATCAGTTTGAATGTGGTCCTCTCACTGCTTGTCCTCGTGCCGGTTAGAAAGCATTCCAAAAACACTGCTTGCCCTGCCCTGCCATCAGGATGGTATTACAATCTGGAGCCTATTGGCCGCTGTGCTCCATGAGTTTTTTGTTGAAATATGGGGACCTACGGGGAGTAATTAATCATAAAAGCTTGGGGATTTCAACTCTATCATCGGAGCAATGAAGCAAGGGAAAGCTGAGCCTAAAAGCTGTGCTGATTACCCGGGGTAACCTGATACAAAATCTATTGTTGCCGAGAGATCCTTAGCCCCCAGTATATCGTGCAATATTATAACCGCCTGATCTTCTCCTCTGCTGACAATGACCAGTTATTCCGCATTTTCTCTCTCAACACAGCTGGGTTAGAATTTCATTTGCAGAAGGTATTTAGAGCAATTTAGAGACAAATGTCTCTGGTGTTTGCTCTGCACTTCCCCACCGCAGGCTTCGCTGAACAGTTTTTAGTATCAGGAGCTCCATCTAATCTGTTTAATTTTAATAAATCCCTGACTGGGAGAAGAGGAGGGTTGGGCAGAGAGAAACTGTGGCCCGACTAATACTACTTATGAATTACTTGGCTAATAATTACTAAAGAGCAAAAATGGTTTGGTAGAGCTGTTTGTTCCTGTTTGTTAATTTGCTGTACTTCCCTTTGCGCTAATTTTTTGTTTGAAAACTGAACAGTAAGAGATAGGAAGGAGCAGGGTCCAGTAGTGCCTGTACCCAGCAGTCATTGGAAATACGGCCATATGGAATCTGACCACTAAGCTTACAGCATGACCTCCGTTTGGTGCTGGAGAGCAGAGAGTGCTGTTATTGTACCTATGTACCTTAACAGATGGAGGCAATTATTCTTGAAGCCTAGATCTCGTGGCTAGTTCAGCTCTGGGTAAATGAGGGATTGCATATTTTGGTAGGCTGTTCCCGCTGTACTCTGATATACAGTCATCATCCCAACGACAATGTTATCCCCATTTTACAAGTAGAGGAGGCCCCGCTACCAGTCAAAAAAACATTTTCTGTATAGAAACCATGTAAATTTACAAGAGTCCCTACTAAAATTAGGGAGTTTTTTTGTTTTTTTACAGAGACACCTTTTTAGTTTTTTTTTTTTTTTTTTTTTTTTTTTTTTTTTTTTACAGTTACTCTGGTCCAGGATTGTTGCAGCAGGACTTATTGTATAGGGAAGGGCTTTAGTCTTTTCATGGACCCCAGAAGAATTTCAGTGGAGGGGCAAACCCCTGAATTTTCATGTCCGTAGAGAGTTGTATGCTGTATATGAACTTACCTTTTGTAATTACTTTCATGGAACCCTGCATGGTTAAAAAGTCCTGCCATAGAGAGAATGGTGCTAGACTACTTGATGTCTTTGAGTGTAAGAGGGAAAAGGCCAGGTGTCTGACCCCTGTGGGAGCTTTCCACTACCCCAGCTGCAACCCATGTAGGCTACAAGAATAGGACTGGAGCATTAGCAATGGGTGAGCTTTCAGGTCCTGCAGTCTCAGCTTTGACTAATAAATTTCACTTCTGAGATTTGCAGAGATGGTTTTGTCTTGAATTACTTTTCTTTTTTTATGAACATCTCTTTCCTAAAAGGAACAATCCAATTTTGTTTTATTTTAATAATATTTAGTATAGGAAATGAGGTTCTTGTAGTACATGTCAGTTCAGTGAGAAATGAAAGTTACTTTAGGATTATCAGCTGGATTGGGTTTGTTTTCTTATGAAACAGCAGTTGCAGGGGCTGAAAGTAGGCTTTTCTGGTTACTTGCAGGACAGGGGGTTGCTGAACTGCTGTCTCAGGAATGGGACACCATGGGATGATGGTGTTGATGACAGTTGGGAGAGTGACGGTGTCCTGGATTTGTAAGAGGTCCTTCAAAAGCTGGATGAGGTTTCTGTGTTGTCTTGAGTGCTTTTAAACTCCCAAATACAGAGGCATTAATGAGAAACATGAAGTTATTAGAATCATTTATCATTTTCTTTGAAGCTTACACTGGCATTTTATGTAATTTATGACATTTCCTCCTTTTTATCATGAACTTCTTCAGATGAAGGGAAAAACAGCTGTTTCCCTTCAGAGTATCTGAAAGAAAAGAAAAGAAAAAAAAAAAGATGCTGTTTGTTTTTTGTCCAACTCGCTGATTCTGCTGATGACATGCCACAGAATCAGCGGCGCCTTGGGAGTAATTAGACAGCATGTGGGGTTTAAACCCTTGTGGAAATGTGTCTGTCATCTAACTGTTGTGCCTCAGATGTCCTGTACTACTCAGCTACCCATCCAGTAACTCATGTGGCTTATTAATTTTGTGGACTCTGAATCTGTAAGTTCTGGCAAGATGAAGATCAGGGGTAGAAATGCACCATTCGTGTGGAGCTCTATTATTCAGGGTGCTAGTCTCGTGAAGCAGGGAAGGGAGTAATTTCTAGGTTATAAGTCTTCTTGTGTCACCTTGGGTGAAAAACTTTTTTCTCAGTTGCTTGTTCTCTTCCTCTGTAAAATGGATACAGTAATGCCTTCTCAGAGTGGGATTGCGGGGAGATGTGGAAGCGTATGGGGAGCTCAGACACTGTAGTGATGGGAGAGTGGAAGTGCATTAGGGCAAGTAAATGTATCATTGTTGAACTTGAACTTTCTATATTGAGAAAATGTCCATCCAGAAGGCAGGATAGTTCGGAAGACCTGCTGCCTTGATTAGTCTTTTGTAACATACAGGCTACCTGCTTCTAAGAGGAATAACACTCTTGCTTGGTGAGATGAACAGGAGGCCGTTGAAAGTTTTGCCCTTTTGCGTGCTGTATCAACTGATTTGTTTCACTACTTTGGCTATGAGGAAGCGAATTAGTAAGAAAGGTTCTCCTGTGGGTCTTGCACAGCTTTTTGCAGTGCAACACAGTTCCAGAAACTTATGGCCAGTGTCAAGGGATCAGGCTATGATGATTTCTGAAGAGACAGGTAAACTATTTAATTTACATAGCCCTTCCCATTCAGAACTCAAAGATACTTGATTCCATTGAAACATATGCTATGAACCCAAGAATCTGCAGTAGAAAAACAAGTTGAACTTACTTTCCTTCCTCCTTCTGCAGTCTGCATTCTTGGAAGTTGAACCCCTGTCTTTTCCTCTTTGTCAAAGAAGCGCAAATGGATCACCTTGAGAACGTGAGAGAAGGGGGCACAGCCTACTGCTGGAGGGCTTTAAAGGAAGTGAATTCTTCAGCAGATTTCAATTTAACCCTCTTTTATTACTTTTCTTTTTTATAATTTAAGTCCATTTCATGAGGCAGTTTGCATGTCCTTGAATGGAATCTCGTTACCATGAAAGCTTTTTTAGCATTGATTTCATAACAGTCTTAATTTAATAGTGCCATCATTACTGAGAAGCCCTGAGAGTGAGGCCCTAGCTTTCCAGGTCACTGACCTTTTAATTACAAACCTTGTTCTGATGGCCAGGTTATCGACTGGACAGCTCCCAGCTTCTGCCCCCAGGATGAAGATGAAAATAACTCTTTCCTCCCCCACTTCCAGAAAAGGGAGGAAAAGCAAAGTAACCTCTTGTGTTTCCAAAATTAATTTTCTCCTTCAGCTTTACTTTGTAATTAATTCTTTAACATGTCTCAGCGAAGCTTGAACAGTTTTTACAAAGCTTTTTCTTGAGCACAAAATACAGTACGAGCCAGTGGAGTCCAGTGACAACTCATACAAAAAAATCCAGTTAGTAATATGTACGGGCAAAATCACCTATTTGAGCCAAACTGCTGTGGCCCTCCACACCTTATGCTTCTTTAGAAATGACCAGTTGGATACAAGAATGTGCAGGTCAGGCTGTGTGTGTAGGCTATTCAAGGAACGCTAGGTGACTTGTCA